ATGCGTCTATCAGCCTCACCACAATCGCTTCCTTGGCGTGTGTGAGTTGCCTTGCAGAGGTTACAAATACACTGAGGCTGATATGACGCTTGAAGTGGGTCTCTATGCACAATAATAACCTGATATTTCTCGGTCTGCACTTCACTATCAGCAAGTGTACGTGCCTGATGCGCTCCATGGGTCCCTGCGATACTGATTCTGGCATTTCCCTTCCAGTATATGCTAATTCGCTCCTTGCTATGTAAGCGCTATTTTCAATCACCACATAAACCATCGCTAAAATTTTTGTATAGCCTAAATTCCCGTGCCACACTCGGAGCTGCACATAACAACTCGTCGCTCGCCGCTAATAGACGTCTCCAAAGCTTGCTCAATAACCTCAACAAGGTGCCATCTTTCGTGACTATTGCTCGTCGTGACCTACATTGGAAGCGTTTGACTGACACACCTTTAGGCGAGTTTACAGAGGGCCGGCTCCCCAGCGAACAAAGTGGTAAGATCCATCACTGAGATCGTCGCTATCTGTTTGACATGGATCTCGACCAGGTGGAGATTAACGTTCAGACGACGGTAGACCTTGATGTTTGTCCAGCTCCCTCTCTCGGCGCGAGTCATGAGATTTCGCGCGAATTCAGCCATTCTGAATAAGCTAAAAATGTAAATACTTGTACACGGGTCATCCGAGTGGGCGCGACAAGCAAACAGCTCCGGTAGCTTCTCCCGAGAAGTAATGTTTGGTACAGCTGATATTCATCCCACCGCATCGACGATGAGAAGGCGCAGTTACACGTGCGTCAGCAAACAACAATATTAGGAGGCGGTACTGCTTCGTTAAACAATATAATGCATAGTAATTCCATCCGAGGTGGTGTACTTTATACAGTCCGCAAGACATTAACGTCGTCCAGTTTCCGGTTTTCAAAATTATAATCTGGCTGGCTGCTATGTACTTGCCTTCTCTCAAGAGTGTCGTGGGTCCCTCCTGTGATGGAAACCTGTCAAGACCGCGAATCAGCACTTGGTAGCCGTTCTGTTCTCTTTGACGTACATGCAGACGTTCGGAAGTGATCTCAGATAAGCCGGCAAAGTGAAGCTATGGCGCAATAACCCCTCGTCAGGATCGTGCAGAGGCCGACAGTAGGATCTGCGTACGTCGTCTACATTCACGTTTATGACGGCTTCGCTAAGCTCTGCTGACATGCGCGCTGCAAGGTCGTGGCGCGAATTTAGGCTCGAGATGACAGAGTTCGTGTACCTGGCGCAGTTCGATGAGCTACAAGTTTGAACTGATACAGGCTATACTTACAACTTTACGACGCCGTAGTTGAAAATATAATGTATGCCCAGAGGCTTGCGCGCCATTATCAGAATGTGGCTGCTGGAAGCGGCGTTCAGTTGGCGATATACTCACCGTAGATAACCATAGCACCATATGACCTATTGTAAACGAAGCTGTCAGTAGTCCATTAGAGACTGTCGCTGTCCGTAGGCCATCAGTACGATGTGCCTCTTGACGCGATGAACCTCACATCGTATGATGCGTGTGACTGCGCTGTTGGTGCGCTTGAATCCTGTCTTCTGCTTGCTCTGCGAAAGATCTTGAACGGTAAGGAGCGTAAGATACGTAAAATTCAGGTCTTACTGACGAGGTAAACACTCAGAGCTGTCGCAATGGATATGTCACAGATTGTGCACGAGACTAGCCATGGCAATCCGAAACCCTACGTAACGTCAGCTTTTCGTTAGAAGGAGCACAGCTGACTGACCATAAAAAGACTGGAGTGGAGATTCGAGAACAAAGGGCGCATTATAACAACAACGGTACAGCCAATGGCAGCGACTAGATGTGTAAGGTCATGAGTTACACAGCCAAGACATTTGAGCTGTAAAAGACGCACGACCAGAGACACATGATGTTGAAACAATGAGGCCAATCAACCAGCAATTCTTGATTAGAATCCAAATTCTCCTGGCATAGAACAGCTGGGCCATTGTGGCGATGACTCCCTACATGAACTGAGTCTACGGCCAAAACGCATGCGGGATAAGAAGGGACTCACACAGAACGCGTGCTCCGAAGCATGCACTACCCGAAGGACAGCACGTGCGATGGTCGTCAGCGAGTTGGCACTCGCGAGTATATTTTGACGGCGTACTCACACCAATTGGCCCGCGTAAGGATGTCGAAATTGCCTGCGACACTTGTTTCAGAGGTCACGATGAATACTGAGATCCACAGACGGGAACGCACCAAAGTTGTTGATGAGGGCCATATAGATCCAAGCGATGTTGAATGCAGTGTTGAGGCTGTCTGCCAAGATAAGAAGGCTGACCTGCGAGTCCACTCAGCATGGATTTGCGTATAGCATAGGTTGAGCGCGACGTACATATATCTTTAGCCATAGCGGATCTCTTATGCGCATGTCAGCATACCCATGGGGAAGTTAGGAGAAGAAATAGAACGTTCCCAGGGTATCTAACATAATACATCTGCGCCTGGACTAATACGACGCCATATAGTCTGTCAGCTGTCAGCGAGTGCGCATCCCTGCTACGGCCAAACACTCACAAAACGTTGAGGAAAATGCCAAGCAAGCAGGGGCCTTGACTGGAGAGTGCATTAGTTACAGTTCTGGACCTCTGACACGGGCGGTAGATACTCGCATTTCGCGAGCGGTGGTCAGGTCGGGACCATAGTCAAGCATTAGCGATGCCCAAGGGGACGGCAGACAGAAGCGGGAGAAGCAGTCTGTTCGGATGGACTCGAGACCACAGGACTGCTTATATGTGACCTGTTTCATGGCGCGCGGAGATATGGACTCCAGTCTTTTCGCCACCGAAACGATGTTCATCATCGGCGGACACCCACCGCCCACCAAGCGCGACCCTGCTGCACGGGCGATCATGGCCCCGTTTGCAGCACATGACTGCGAGGTTCAATGAGACGAGAGCGCTGGGGCTGCGCTAGCTCCGTTGTGCACGGAGCGACCGACTCGGGGGCAACGAGCGTGGCAGAGCGCAATCAATTAGTGGCCGTATACGCGCGTGGTATACGGGATGATCAATACGCGGTGCGATCGTTATAACCGACAGCTTCAAGTTGGTCGGCGTCGCGTGCACTAGCCGGCCGCATAC